AATTTTGTTATCTAAATCAAATAGCATAATTATTTCTAGTGCAGAATGAGACATATTATCTTCCAGTACAAAAGATAAATCTTTATGTTCAACTGAACCGCAGTTACATTAGATCGTATAAAACTAAATCTAAGAACTTTCCTGGATGATTAGCGACATGGTTCATTTGATATAAGTTCATAACACTTATTATGCATCGTCACACTTACACAAATACTCACCGATATTTGGCATATTGGTTAATAAATGGTTAGTAATGCATATGAAAACCATCGGGTATGTAGGGAATATAAATGAGAAATATATACAAACTAAGCGAATTATGTTGATATTTAGAACCTATAATGTCTGCATGTTCAATTTTTTCTAAAAGTTCAGACAAGTCTATCACTTCTGTAGTTCCAAAGTTCCTTAGCACAAAAACAGCACCACCGCCACGCAAAACGTTGAGTTGTTGGAAACACCTATCACATCTGTACACTATGTAACTAGGTTGAAGTTTGCACTTGAGAAAAGACGTTGATTAATTATAATTTGTGCATCAACTTATAGTGTATGGGATCCCCTTCAGATTCAAAATATTATATCAATATACCGCAAACCATTTCATGTTAATGTTACCAAAGCGATACCATATTACGAAATAATGCTTTTAACGGTAGGTAATATACGCGAATTCATTTCCTTCATTTCTTAAATGAAAAGGTATCTTATAATACAATCTTCATTTTAGAAACGTCAAAGGAGTAACTTGAACATGCCGAAAGCTTATTAATGTGCCAACACTAATGACAACATTCAGATTAATTTTGTAAGTAATCGCTTTTAAAGAATTCTCTATGTACATTTTCATTTATACGGCCGTAAATTGTTCGCATTTCTTTGTTTTTTTTAACAGTAGGTCTTTCGACAGATATACAGAAAAAACATTTCATTGTTAAGAGCTTTTATAGATTGGAAACGTTAAAAGCGCTCCACTGAAACAATTTAAGTTAAATTACGTCCATCAATGATTAGTTTCGATTCTATAGAATTACTCCCAACTAACGAAACTTTCTGTTTGATGGGGAGTCTGGTGTAAGCTATAGTGGGATACATCTAACCCTGCATCCAACCTATTCATACGATTAGCATAATAAATTGAGAAGGTGGGCAGAGCAACACTGCCGTAAACTCTTAGGACCCACTAGCTTTAACTTGATCATAATTTTATGTTTTCCAGTTGTTTTTGTGTGCTATAATTATTTCTTTATCAGACCTACAAATGAATATAAAATTTTATCACACACATAAAAGCACAATGAATTCTTTAATGGGCATTTAAATAAGACCGATAGGTACATGTACACTCCTCATCTTTTTACAAGCGTTCTTCTACTGGCTCGCATTTACTGCCCGCCAGCCAGCCAGTCAGCCAAAGGAAGATTAAAAGCTACCTCTTTAGCGCATTTTGGCAAATTTATTTGTAAAAAGGTAGCTTTTAAGCTGACTTTGGCTGGTTGGCTGAGTTTATACAACAGTTTTGGGGTTCTTCAATGTCTACTAGGCAGTGATAATTTAATCACACGGGGTTGGTCATAAAGGTGTGCCTCACCAAAATTGAATTTTTTTAATGAAACACCCTATTCTTGTCTCAACTTTAAGCAAAATTTGTAAAAAGCGTAACGTATCTAAATTTAATCGTTTCCAGGTTATCGAGTTTTGGAGATAAACGCTATTGGTCTAAATGTATTGAATGAAGAACAATAATTTATTAGTGACATCACGAATTTCTTTTAAAAATACTTTGTGGTTCTGAAAAGAACCGATTGTGATTATTGTTATAATTGTTTGGAAAGCGTTTATTTTCAAAACTCGATAACGCGGAAACGATTGAATTTGGATGCATTATGTTTCTTACAAATTGTGCTTAAAATTGAGAGAAGAATTGAAATATCAAATAATGTACAGGGTATTCAACTTTAAAAAGTGCAATTTTGGTATTCCACGCCTTTATGACCAATCCTGTACAATTATAGTTATTACGGCCTAGTGTGAACATTGAAGAACTATAAAACTGTTGTGTAAAACTTTTTTCGATATCTTGTATATTTTCCCAGATAATCGACCGGTTCCAAGCTTATCAGCAACCAAATAATAATAAATTTAAAATACTTCCAAAAAGTAAAAACACTGAAAAACCGCACTCCTTACTTAAGAGATCGAAAACCATCCACCTCACTCCACTTTCCGTTATGCTACACCCTAAGAAGTTCCGGGCGCTGCACAAAACAGGAATGTTTGAAAGGCAACGAATAGTGGTCGATGTTAGACAGTGTAGCATTCTCGATCGCGATCAGCTTCAGACATAGTAGGAACCAGCTACTTCTTGAAAATGTTAAGAAATATTCCTTATATTACAAATTATGGAATGAACTACTTGTAAAATATATGAGCAAAGTGTTTCAGAATATATTGCTGTGATAAGACGGATAATTTTAGGTTACTTATCTTTTTTATGTCACTCTATAGATGGTTCGTTTTAGTTAAATTATGGATAAGACATTTTAAATTTTGCAGGTGTTTTCTTTGTGTAAATTTTTTTTTATCTTTGGAGCTTATTTGTTAGGTATCATTTTTGTTTAAATGGACGAGTGTGTTAACAGTTAAAGGGTTTGGATAAGACATTAATTGATAACATTTTGTTTACGTTGTTTTATGTGTTTAATTTGCTGAAAAAGAAAGAAAAGGAAGAAGAAGAAAAGAAAGTCTAAGGGGTTTACGATAACGCGTTGCTTATACTGGCCAACCAAGTGACCTGCACACCTATAACTATTACACAATGAGAAATTGAATGTTAAATTTCTAGTGCCAAAATTGATTTGAAAACTACCACATTATGTAATGGAGAAAGACAATGTATGATCATATCCAAAATATGTTTACAAGCTGGAAACAACCGAAGGTGTGAAAAGTGAATATTAATTATTAATTAATTAATAATTAATAATTTAATATACTTACAATTAAAGTAAAGAGTGATCAAAAATGATATTGCACTCCTACCCAGTGGTGCATCGGCAAAATATGGTGTTACGAATGGACTCAGGTGCCATGAGATCATTGGTTGTAACCGACTTTAGGTCCTTTGGTCCATTCCCATTGCATAGGTGGTAGTTTGAGATCGAGAGCTGCTTTGTTCTCTACTGGCAAAACATTCTAGGTATAGAGATGACCTTTTCCCTTTCCGCAGTAACTGACTTCAATGCTACTATTCAAGTTTGGAAATGGGGCATGGTTATTGAATCATTCTCGAATCTTAGCGTGATCTCGTGAATCTTTCTGTTTCCGTGCGATAGTCGTGGCATTGATTATAATTTACCTTCCCCCTTAGATGTATTTTTAAATATTGATCCCAGTCAAAAAGTGTATAGAACCTTTTGTGTGGAGAATGGTATGTAGATTACTTAAGTGTAAGAACATTCTTTGCAATCGGTCACCATATACGAGTTATTTACGAAAAACTACACAAAGGGTCCTTTGCACCCCCTTCACCCGTTAGCTCCACCCCATCCATCAATACTGTTACTATGTTGTTTAAGACACCTTCACAATTATACCAAAATTCGCTTTACACGAATTATTTCTCTGATTTGAGAGTTTTTGGTCTTCGTTGAGTGGGTTGAGAATCTTATGATGCTAGCTATATGTGCTAAGGCCATACCTCTGTTTCTCTTACCATAGATTAATAGTTATTTATTATTCACGACGATAAAGGGATGTTTTAACCATCGAGTGAAAGATGTTAATTTACGAGTGGCGAATTAACTTGCACGAGATAGGTTTTCCCTTTACAGTCGTTTATAATAAAAAACTTTATTTTATAGCAGAAGCCATAGAAAAAAAGAAAAAAAACAAAAGATTGGGTTCTCCCGTCGTTTCCATGGAAACACTGTTCTGAACTTCATTTTATTTCGGGTTCCGCGTCTCATTTTTAATAAGAATGTCAGATGTCATTGGAGTGCATAATTATTTGTTTCACTTTATCTACCCTTGCCGTTAAAGTGATAACTATCTATCCTTACTGTTAGGGAGACAGCTTACGCCCTATTACACCCTATTAAAATAAAAAAAGTCTGTATTACTATGGATAATTATGAAGATAGAATAGCCGGCACATTCTTAATTTTCGCAACCTTTTGCAAGTGAGAAAATATAAGTCTTACAAACTACAATTTGTTTATAATGATTAATACACTCCATTAATGTACGACCAATCAGCTTTGTGATTGTTTCAAATTCTAACCAATCAGATGATTTTTTATCTGATTAAAAGCTAGGTAGCTTTTTATCAGCGATAAAAATGCGCTTAGGAATGCGTAAAATATATAGTGGTTGTAAAAATTATGGTCTTTTACTAGTCTCCCTAAAATACACTCTATCTTGGTTTTAAATCAGGATAATTTTGTTTTTAATTCACTCAAATTTTGTTGCTTCCTGGAAAAAAACTTTCGATCAAAAGCACATGATAAAATCCCACTATTGATCTCTAGTTTTTTCCGTTGTAACAAAACTTACGTTTAAAAATAAAGTTATCCGCTTAAAAATCAAGCTCTTGTTTATTTACCCCCGAAAAAAAATTACGTCTTGACCTTCAGCTGAACAATTTACCCTTCACTAACCTACGAAAACAAATGTATGCAAGTAAGCAGCTTTTACAAAACTTCATCATTCATTCAAAATGGTATTAAATAAGACTTTTTTCTGCCGCCTTTCAGAACGTTAGAATAAATATTGAGAAATCGTATTTTGTTTCAGAAGGAAAGATACCGGGAGTAAGTTTGTTACTACCACCGTCCCACACAGCACTAAGTGGAGATCTACATGTAGAAATAGCATCTTCATCCTTCCCGCCGCTCCTTTTACAAGTTTCCCGCGTCGAAGGCACAGGCACTCAAGCATTAACCACCATTCAAGTTCTGCCAGAAGCAAGAGCCCTATCTCTAAATAAAACAATTGTAAAAGTACCTTGCGGTTACTTTTCAAGAGGAGGAACTCACTTTGTCCTCTTGAAGAAACAACCAATCAGTTACGGAGACAATAGAACCAGAAGTGATCGTAGTTCGATAATAACTAGAAGTCTCGATGTCCGGTGGCCCATGCCTCAACTGTCACTCACGCCAGAATATGTTCAAACATATCCCGAGAGGCCAGTTATGGCGATTTTAGAATTTCCCGAAGTCGTTTGTCCTCCTGTTAGTGACAGTCCGGCTAGTGCAATACCCGAATTTTGGCTCGAACTTCACTACTGCGGCCATTCTTTGTTAAACTGTGATAATATAAATCAGAGTTTTAATCAATCGCGTGTACAGGTGAGTGAATTAATGTAATAATCTCGGTGAACTTGTAATTAATCTTTAAATGCTTGGGTTAGGTCTTATACTCCGAACAAGTACGCGGTTTTCCAGGACGTCGAGTTCTTACACTGAGATGTGAGCTTTTTGGACTTGCAGGGCATTATTCTCTGTTATTACGGCCGACTGCACCCATACCGACTTTACCTCATACGGCCGCATACGTTAAGGTACTTAGACACTTTCAATAGAACTTATAAACTCAAAAATTCGTTTAAATCAACTGAAAGTTTTATATTCGTTTTGAGAGATTGATTTTATATCAAAGAACTGCAAAAGAGATTCCAATTAGATAGAACCGTGGAATCCATGAATTAAAATTAAGCTCTGATCGGGCACAGCGTTTAATTAACGGATTGAATAGGCTTCTAATTGTGATTTATTGACACTTATGAGTATTTATTGCTCCATTTATTTTTATTATATGATACTTCTTTTCAAATTACGTATTCTTGCTGTGTGCATAAAATTCAATCCCTGTACATCTTGGGACAAAGGCAATGTAGATAAACAAGGTTAATACATTTTTTACTCCAAAAATGATCATTTAGAAAGAGCCCCTCTTTTTACATCATCTAATTTTTAGTAGAGAATAGGTCGTGGCTTGTGCTTTTGACCTTTTGTTAATTATACTTATGCATTTTTCAATATTTGTGTAGATGTTTCCATGTTTTTCTATACACATTTAAAAAGTTACTTATTCATATTTTAAAATCTCAAAGCTAAGGTATCTCAATAACTTTATTCTCTTGAGAAATTTATAGCTACCGTTGCCGATACAATCGTTGTGTTAGGCACTTATCTGATAAATAACTTTATTGGGGATTTGGAACTAACTAGAGAGTATACCAATACCAGTAACAACTAAACAATAACAATTAAGTTCGTATTTTGTGTTTTCGTAAAGTAAAGAAGGTAACTGTTTGATTTCAATTCAAGTCTCGCTACATGATCTGTAAGTTGTTTAGTAGCTCAGAGGGTTATTTATTCCCAGGTTTATTCCTCTTGAGTTATGTACAAAACAGATCACATTTTCTGGCCAATCGATGCTGCTGAACGATTTCGTTAAAGTACCTGAAATGGGCTCTACGACGGCATAACTCTCATTGCAAGCCTGAAACAAAAAGAAATGGAAATTTATAGAATAGGTACCATTTGCGGTAATCTTCCACCTTAAGCTCGTAAGGTGTTGCCCAGTATTGGCGAAAATATTGGTCTTGGGTGAAATTTCCGCTGAGACAACGGTACAGCATAACCATTGACCTGCGCAGGATCTAGACGTCGCACTCTGTGTCTGTTGTTAATTGTTATGAGTGATGGAACAGTTGAAACATGCTGCACAGCTGATATGAATAATTAGGACATTTGAATAAAAGCCACATTTATTCAATGGTGTAACTCCCAAAATTCTTTGTGAGCATATACTTAGGAGATGAGCTGATGACATCCCACAATGAGACCGATTGAACTAAGTTTATTGTTGAACTATCGCCCGTTTTGGGGCATTAAATTCTGCATTGAATGAGACCAGACTCATATTATTTGGACCACCAGTTCCTATATTAGTCGAGATATTAGTGCTCATTGGAGAAAATCAAATGTTACATATCTACAACAAGTTAAAAAGTAATCGTAAACGATTTACATAAAGCGCATTTCCACTTGCATTCATTTCCCATTCTTGTAAGATGCAACTTCTATTAAAATCGTAAAAATCCGGCCACAAATACGAAAGATAGCGTTGCACATGGGCAATCCATTTTTGACGTGCTACTTCAATTTCAGTTTATGAGAAGAATTTCATTTCAATGCTTTTCTAAATAAGAAAGTTGGAACTGCGCATGCGCAAACCTAAATTTTGAAACTGGCGTTTGATTTTCCTTTACTCTAAGTCCCTATGTATCAAATTTCGTTTAAATGCTTCCATAGATCAAAAAAAGCTCGCACTGCGCATGCGCCAAACCAAATTTTGAAACTGGCGTTTGATTTTCCTTTATTTCAAGTGCCTGTGTATCAAATTTCGTTTAAATGCTTCCATAGATTAAAAATAGCTGGAACTGCGCATGCGCCAAACCAAATTTTTGAATCTGGCGTTTGATTTTCCTTTATTTCAAGTGCCTGTGTATCAAATTTCGTTTAAATGCTTCCATAGATTAAAAAAAGCTCGCACTGCGCATGCGCCAAACCAAATTTTGAAATTGGCGTTTGATTTTCCTTTATTACAAGTGCCTATGTATCAAATTTCATTCAAATACTTTTATAAGTAAAAAAGTTTGCAATTCGGTTTATAAATAGTCGAGATGCGAAAAGGGCACTGTGAATTTTGAATCGATTCGATTCAACTTTTGGCATTGCGTATTATATGGTTAAAGCTATGCCCATATTGAATTTCGTGCAATTCAGTTCATAACTAACGGAGATGTAAAAGCGATCGAACATTTCTAAACAAAGTTATCGTTCACACGGACAGATAGATGGACAGACAGACAAAGGAACAGAGGGACAGACCAACAGACAGACGACAGATAGCAATGCAAAATTATAAACGATCTCTAGGATCGTTAATAAACGGCAAAAGTGTAAAATTATGGAACATGTAAAAAACGGTTTTTGTTTTTTTTACAAATAATTTTTTCTATTTCGGTGTCACAATGATGATTTTGTACAACTGTTTTCGGCCGAAAACAGTTGTACAAAGACAGTGATTATAGTCGTTTTTTTTTGGTAACTCACCTCTTAAGTTGGCAGTTACTAGTTAGTACAAGTAAGTACTTCGTTGGGTACTTCCATGTTTGAACTTCAAANGAATTTAAACGAAATTTTATACATAGGCACTTGGGATAAAGGAAAATCAAACGCCAATTTCAAAATTTGGTTTTGCGCATGCGCAGTGCCAACTTTTTTATTTATGGAAGAATTTAAACGAAATTTGATGCATAGGCACTTGGGATAAAGGAAAATCAAACGCCAATTTCAAAATTTGGTTTTGCGCATGCGCAGTGCCAACTTTTATTTATGGAAGAATTTAAACGAAATTTGATACATAGGCACTTGGGATAAAGGAAAATCAAACGCCAATTTCAAAATTTGGTTTTGCGCATGCGCAGTGCCACCTTTTTTATTTATGGAAGAATTTAAACGAAATTTGATACATAGGCACTTAGAATAAAGGAAAATCTAGCGCCAGTTTCAAAATTTGGTTTTGCGCATGCGCAGTGCCAACTTTTTTATTTATGGAAGAATTTAAACGAAATTTGATACATAAGCACTTCGAATAAAAGAAAATCAAACGCCAATTTCAAAATTTGGTTTTGCGCATGCGCAGTGCCAACTTTTTTATTTATGGAAGAATTTAAAGGTAATTTGATACATAAGCACTTCGAATAAAGGAAAATCAAACGCCAATTTCAAAATTTGGTTTTGCGCATGCGCAGTGCCAACTTTTTTATTTATGGAAGAATTTAAATGAAATGTGATACATAGGCACTTGGAATTAAGGAAAATCTAGCGCCAGTTTCAAAATTTTATTTTGCGCATGCGCAGTGCCAACTTTTTTATCTATGGAACTATTTAAGTGAAATTTGATACTTAGGCGCTTGGAACAAAAGAAAATCTTAGTTTATTAGTTAGTTATAGTAAATTAGTTTTAAAATTTAGGTTTGCGCATGCGCAGTTCCAACTTTCTTATTTAGAAAAGCATTAAAATGAAATTCTTCTCATAAACTGAAATTGAAGTAGCACGTCAACAATGGATTGCCCATGTGCAACGCTATCTTTCATATTTGTGGGCGGATTTTTACGATTTTAACAAAAGTTGCATCTTACAAATGGGAAATGAATGCAAGTGGAAATGCGCTTTATGTAAATCGTTTACGATTACTTTTTAACTTGTTTTTATTTTTGTGGAAATGCGCTAAAAATTAGCTTTTGCCCTCGCGACTTCGTACTCGTATAAACATTATTCCCGTTCCCGTAGGAATTTCGGCAAATCTTTTCTTAGTGGTCCCCTACAATCCCCAAGGAATTCTACATGCCAAATTTCAGCTTTCTACGCCCAGTAGTTTCGGCTTTGCAGACCTTTAGAAGATTATTTAGTAGTGGTTTTAATCCCATGATCTTTGCCTGTTACTTTATTATGCTATTTATATCAGTAGATGACTCTATCAACTGCCATAGGGCCTTTGAAATTGGAAATTCTTCAATAATTACCCTGGTTAATCAAACCTTTGACAAAGCCTAATTTGTCCGCAAAAATAGAGTAATGACTATAGAGCAATTCAAATCTCAGGTGAATATTAATGGTGATCCGAAGTGCGACACCGTAAATAATTGTTGCCACTGGGGATAAATGTCCAGCAATCGGGTTCGTATTTTCCTTAAAGGGAAATTCTCTCTTCATTGTATTTTAATTAATAGAGACGTGGAAGGGTACCATTTTGTACTGGTATCTTGCAAAGGGTTAAAGATTTTCTCAGGTTCGTGGCGTAAATTATTTTGGTAATTTATTCGTCTTGTTATGTTGCTGAAGTACTTTTTGAACTTACCTTTTTGTACTTTTACTTCCAGTTAGTTCATGTAAATATAGTTTAAAAGAGGACGGGATTTAGTTAATTTTGCATTCACCGATATTTCATCAATCGTCAATAGTTTGTAATCAAAATTTGGGAAATACTGATTGAAAATTTATACTCCAATATGTTTTGGAGAGTTTATGTAATTCCCACGTAGATCTCTCTTTGACCGGAGCTCATTTTACTTTCCCTTTTGTAGAACAACAATAATTCCAAAAAGTTAAATAAAAATTTAAATAGATTTATTATTATTATTGCAACAACCACTATAAAAGGACGGAACCTTAATTGAAATAAAAATAAATCTTACTACTCAAAAATATTTTAACCTAATACACAAATACAGGAAATACCTATTCTTAAATTTAAAGGAACAAATCTAAATCGAACTAATGCTCGATATGACACACTTAAACAAATAATTAATTTAGTTCACTCATATTTTGCAATAAAAGCGCAAGTAATGAAAAAATGTAAGTACATCTTTTACCCTTTGCAATTGGAATAGTCGCTGACCTTAGGCGGACGTAGATGTAGTCGCATCGGATCAAATTTCCGCCATTATGTTGTATTGGCACTCACAGTTCGCAGATCTACGTCGATTTAATGAACCGAAGTGGTTTTCGACTGATTTCTCCAATTTGGCTTGAATAATTTTGGCACTGATTTCTTTTCATGGACTCACTTTTATAATTCACGCCCTTAACTATCAGACCAACCCGCTTTTAATATTATAACAAAATCTAGAAATAGAAATAGAAATTGCTGCATAGAAAATCGTTTTTGCATTCTTTTCCTCCTCATATCCGCTGTCAGAGAGCGAATGCTAAATTTCTTCCCCCTTGTCGCGCTCTATAATAGTATATCCAACTGATTTACTTCCCTTGGTAGAATAATGGAACGTACTTTAATACATCCACTGTTAACTAAATTTACCATTTAACTTAAAACGTAAAACCAAAATTGTATGTACAGTAAAAATAAAATTGGATTGATTTTTTAGAAACGGTAAGACATTACAACTAGGTTAAGCCATATATCAAACAATTCTTCTTTAAGGGCCGGTTGTGCAAAGGCAGTTTAGACCTCGTTTGGATTAACGCAATGGATATGTGACTAGTTGAAGTTTGACAAAAACCAATCTTTTATACGTTAATCCACTGGTTAATTTCAAGCGAGATCACTTTAGGCTCATAAAATGCGAGTGCTATTTAAAATTATTGCTGACGTCATAAATCTGCCAATATGGCTCAAAAATGTTCCAAATGTGGTATTTCAGCGAATATTTCCCTCATATGTCATAAATGTCATATGAGGTGTGCAATTATCGCTCAATTACAGCGATAATTGCACTGTAGAAAGCGAAAGAGCCTTGCGATAATTGCACTGTCCATATCCATGGCAACTGGTAACTCCTTTGGACACTTTCATAATATGCCGACAATTTATAAGTAGGTAACGTCAGTTTGACAAGTAATGCTTGTTCGGGAAATATTCATATATAATACCATAAGTAGTCGAAGTATTGTCGAATATTTTTGAGGTGCTGTCACGAATGCTAGTTACGCTGATTAATACCACGATCAAAGAGGTACGAAAAGGCGTACAAACCTTTTAATGACTGGCACAAAACTAAAGGAATAATTACTTCCACACATATTCCATTAATTGTTAGTAATTAAAAGACCATTATCCTTTTTGTAATTATATTAATATTTAAAAATATCCACATAGTCTGCATTATAATTATATGAATATAATAATTATTCAATGAACGATCTAATTGTTATTTTGCATGTACTAGGACTGTAATAGCAGCCAGGCAAAAATATTACAGTACTAGTCAGGTAAAGATCACCTTTCTAATGTCAAAATAACCCTGAAATTTAGATTTTCTTGACGGTTTCAGGTAAAAAATATATAATGAGCATACATTTTTGAGTCGTCCAAATCACGAAAATTAAAAGAAATCGATAAACTATGAGATTAACGGTTATAAACTTTTAGGCAGATTGGAGCGAACAATTTGTGTTCAACGTTCACGCTCGTAGCATCTTTCCATGCGAAGTGCACGGTGGAGGCATTACCGTACTATTTCAATATCCATCGTGTATTTTGGCGTCAGGTGATCGAGTTAGACTGTTTGCTAGATTAAGAGCAAACGTGGCATCATTGACTCCACCGACATCCTTAGAATACGTAGCCGAGCAGCGAATCTCAAGAGGACAGCACAGTTTACACTTTGATTGCGATTTGTTTACCGAGAAGTACGTCGAATACTGTTTTGTGTATGTAAGTCAAGCCATCACAGGAGCTGTAGCTGATGTGAGAATGGACTGTGTGCCTACTCTTCCCGTATCAGGTAATAACCGTACACGTTTGTTGCATCTAGTTCCCCCTGAGCAAAGTACGTCAATTCGCGCACTTCTTCAAATTCATTTAAAGTGGGGCCATAATTCTCATAATGACATACACAATAAATGGTAATTAAGTGGTAATGATTTTCCTAAAAGGGTTTTATGACTGTATGTCTACCTTTAAATTTAGGAGGATATCGATTTTTTTACTGCACTCTGTTGTAATTTAATTCTGAGAAACGAAATTTAAATGAAGCACCACAATGGAGTGTACATTTTTACTCACGTAATTAGAGCAAAATGAGAAAACAATTATCAATATTGTACAGTAATATTAACCATTTTACGCAATTTATATATTTATATTTGTAGAGTCGGAAACCGGTGGTTGGGGTCCATGGAGTTCTTGGACACCTTGTTCGAGTACTTGTGCTGGGGGATCAAGAAACCGTTATCGTTTTTGTGATTCGCCGCCACCTCGATATGGGGCCAAGTTTTGTGAGGTAGGGAAATGCATAGAGGTTCATTAGGTTAAAATTTGAAGGTAAACCGGTGTTGATGGATTAATCAATACAGTAACCATAGAAACAACTAAACATATCCGATACCGTAACAAGCGCGTGTTTTTAATGAAATTTCGTAAGTAGAATAATTACAGTGTTGTTATCGCGATTTTGTGGTTTTATCAGTAAATTAACGATGGGAAAGGGTTCGAAGCCTAAGGAAGCAGATCCTTCTGCCGACCACCTGTCAGAAGTTGACAAGACGTTCTACGAATTGACTATAGCCGATTTAAATCGTAAAATTGCAAGACTAAAAACCTTGACCGAGGAACTAGAGGTGAAAAATGTGGAATTACAGAAAAATCTTAAAACACTAGACGAGGATAGAAATGACGTAATTGCATATCTTAAACGCGTAATCCGCGACAAAACGGAAGAGGTGAAGGATTTTCATGAAAGGTTAACCGGAATCGAGGAAGCAAGGGAAGGGGAAAATAAAACGTTTAAAAAAGAAATCGCATCAATGAAGGACGAGTACAAAATTATGCACGAGCAGCTGACATCCGAAATTAAATTATTAAATGGTAAAATGAATTCTTTAGACGAATTTAGAGCACAAAAGGAAGAGTTGATGAAAAAGTTTGAGGCGCAAGAGAAGGAAATACTTGAACAAGAAGTTAGACACAAACGAGAGTTGTACGCCACTGAGAAAAAGTTTGTTGTGGGCAAAGATAACTTAAAAAAAGATATGGAAAAACGGCTTCTACAACTTTCAACCGATTTTCAAAACGTAACTGAAATGCGAATCGCGTCCACTACTCATCGCGTTATAAGGGAAAATATTGCCATAAACAATGAGCTAGATGCGGTGTTTACAACGCAAAAACGTCTGCACAATGACAACAAAGCGCTGATTGAAGAGAATAGGAAACTAAGATTAGATGCGTCCTTGTACAACGACGAAAAAAAGAAAGTTCTTAAAAAAAACTTGACACAAGTAGGCATTATTTCAAAATTGACGGAAAAACGTGACGAAGCTGAGCAAAAACTAGGCATGTACAAGAAAGTAGAGGCAGAATCAGTGTCTCTCAAAAGAGAGTTACTTCAATTAAATAATGAAAAAGAAAAATTGCAGTTCACCATTCGCATTTTAGAACAAAATCTGCACGCTAGTAGATGCGAGAGAAACGGTTTGGCAACCGAATTACGTGTAGCCGAGGATGAACTGAAAAGGCTCTCGGAAATTTTAAAAGAAGCAGTGTATTCAATAAAGGCGGCTTTAATGATAAAACCAGTTAAGGGTAAAATGACAAAGATCCATGATCGCAAACCCTTATTAAGCAATTTATTAAAATTAATGGATAAAGGTCAAGAGAATATACCAAGGAGCCCTTCACTGGAATCGGTGGATTCAACATCGGCAATATATGCCAAGGGTGACCTAGGTTTCGTTCCTAAACCAGTGATCTTACGGTCTAGAGTGCCTACTAGAAGACATCGTGAGGTACAAGTTAGTGCTAGTTTTGAAGATTTTCTTACGAGATATGTTCCGAAAATGGATATTCAAGACACCAAAAAAGTAGACACTGATAATGGCATCGATGAGACTCGCCCTGTCGTTCAATTTTCAATTGAAAGAATCACACCTGATACTACATCTGAACTTAAACAGTCCGAAGAAGAACGCGCTGTTTTTGAAAGTTCTGAATTGGAATCGAGCAGTACTGAATCACACCACGTAGACGATTATGTGCAGTTTACAATCCTACCGGAAGCACTTGATGAACCTGATTTCGCCGAAATCCCTGAACCAGAAGAAATTGATAACGCCCCTGCTCAAGTGGAAAATATTGCCACTACTTCAGATGTAGTATCCGATAAGGAGGGCGGTCTTGCGGAGGCTGATCTAAAGGAATAAGCTTTGTTTCATTTTTATTTGTTAATATCTACCTAATTGTGTTCGTGTAAAAAAAAATTAAATTAATCGCACTGTGGATGGTCATTGGTCAATTGTTTAATTAATTACATTTAAGGGGCCACGAGTTCAAACCGAAAAGTGTGGATTCGACACAGCTAACAGTTGGGAATGTATATACGGATCATCTTTACCAAACGAAATAGTCGCAAACTTACCCGAGGTTCAAGCGGAAATGAGCCCATTCTGCAGATGTGGTTGTGTAGTACATTTGGGGACAACTAAACCTTACAGAATAATCGCGGCATCGTCCCAGAGTTGCCCTGGGCGCACATTTTGGTTGATTGAGGTAAGATAGATATCTATAGGCGTTTAGATTTTAAATGCAGGTTTCTACAGGCAGATGAAGCGCACATGATCCAGTTTCGCGTTGAACAGTTCCGACTACCGTGCACATCTCAGTGGTTAAAGATACGGGATGGAAGCTCTCTTTCCGCCATTTTGCTGGCAGATATCTCTGGAGGATCTGACATAGATACGCCAATAATTAATTCCTCCGGTTCCAATCTACTTTTGGAGTTCTATTCAAACGAGGACGAATCTTCGAGTCACTTATGTAATGGGGCATTTGTAGTTAAAGCCATGCAATTGGGTACGAAGTAAGATAGAGTGATCTTTTAAGCTACTAATCTATCATTTAGGACCCATTAGAAATAATGCGAGTGGTATAGCAAATGCGCAAGGTATTGGAATCTTACCTTCCGTCGCGTTAAAGCTTACAGCGGTACATATAGCGGCAATTTTTTTTCTAAGTGGCCTTTCAGTAGCAACAGCTTTATTAGGAGCTCAATATCTGTGCCGATACAGAAAATATCACATAGCCCATGCTGATGACCAAGATTCGTTAGCGGACCCCACAGGTGAGATTAAGGTAATCGTTCTCACCGCTCTCACCCTTACAGTTTCAGTGTCATGTGTAAGTTTACCCGTTAGAACGCGGGCGTCATCCAGCACTACTTTGTTATCAGAAGTAATATCTCTAACCAGGTTGAAGCCATTGAAATCTCGCAATAAACACAACCTCCTTAGAGAATCCATGGATTGCGAACAAAGCGAAGAATTACAAGTAACACTGGCGTAAGCAATTGATATGTAACATAACAAACAAAACAATTTATACAGTCATCTTACATTAAATATCTACTTATTCTATGCAATTGTTTTCGCATATTTAATAATTTTACTCTTTATTAGAAAAGCGGAAGACACATTCAGTGTTAGTAGCACCGTTACCATGACACAACAAGACACTAGTACAACTGGAGTGATGCAAGCGAGTGAAACGGAAGATTTAAGTACGTGTAGTTTACCCAATTCGCCTCAATGTCATCAAGAATACATGCGGCGATCTTCAGTACAGTCAGATAAAGACGTATCTGCAGAGAAAGAAGACAAAAAATCTTTAGCTCCCAGAAGATTCAGTAACGGCAGCACGGCTACCCTAACAAATGTGAGAACCGACACAAATTCCAAAAGCGATCTGGTGGGACATTTTTACATTCTAAAAATATGCACGTACTCACTATCGCACGAACAAGGTTTTTTATTTGCACCAGCGTTTGTTCACCTGAGCACTTTTGGAACGCACTGACTTCCTAACACGTTTGTAAAATCCATTTAATAATTCCAGGGAAACTACTCTCCAGCTTTAAGCATGGTTAGTAAGGCGACAATACGTCCAACAACTGAGAAGGAGAGCAAGGACAAAAGAAACAGGGAGAAACTGTTGGCAGGACCACTAGGTTCCGAGTTTTCTATAGCGGCGCCTGACATCGATTTAGAAATGGATTACTATGACTACAATGTGATAAATGCGGGAGCGGCACCTGGTTCCTACCTAGGTATGGATCCAGCCTTTTTAGTATGGATTCCTCCTCTCGATGAAGATGGGGAGATTTTGCAAGATATAGATGATATGGTAACACCGTATGCGGATGTAAAGCCAGACGAATATATCGAAGCCGGCAGCAACAAGGAGTGCGCCGAAGAGGAATGTTTGTTACCTAAGCGTAAGAGATCACTAAGCGATAGTGGCACTAAACCTCATTCACTTATCAGTAAAGATAAGAAAGTTCACCCAGCTTTGGACTGTAATAAAGCAGATGAGTTTGATACAAAAAAATTTTTGATAGTGAAGGGTGATCAGGATACCACGTTTGATATATCAAAACGTAAATTGGTTAAGAGTCTACCAGAGGTGGGTGATAACACGGAGAAAGAGACCAAAGTAGAGAAATCACCAATAGATAATGATAGCTTAGATGAAATTAAGTTTGCTGACGACGAAGACGATGAAATGACTGAACACGAGTGCAATATTCAAAAATCATATCAAGACTCAAATGTTTTATCTTCCAGTTAAAGTATATTTATCACTTTTTTTAAACAGCTTGTATAGTTGTTATGTAATATCAATGATCTATGACTTTGTTATGGTACAATTTAGCAATCAAATATCAAACAAATGAGACTGTTTAAGAGGCATTACTACCTACTAGTTAAAAGCAGATCAAAATAGCTCAGGATGAGCAGTTTTAGGAGATTAATAGATTAGATTTATTTTTGCAAACGATGTTAAAACCGTGGTAATCAATCTATTTGTTGATTTTAATAACACGCGATTTCCTACATGGTATTTTATTGGATTCGTTACCTTAACTAATTTAGATAAGGCTTGATCTTAAAGTTATCAATTATTGAATGTACAGTACATGCTTATCTTTGTTAAAGTAGAGGAAAAGTGACGAATGTCGGGATTATAGGCCCTTAAGATACAAGAAGAAATGCGTTTTTGATGGAACCAGCGTCTTTTAAATTTTGTAATATAGGCAACTGGCAGTGAACAATTTGTTTTATGTTCTGTTTGTGATAGCACACATCCGTCAAACAATTTTCTTGGGGATAAGATGCTACAAACAAAGGTTACGCACCTTCTAAGTATAATCAAAAGCACTTTTGTACAAAGGATTTTTAATTCACAGATTTTTTACAAAAAAAATTAAATGATATGTATCTATGGCCATATTTATGTTATCATTTGGAAGATGTAAATTGTAAAAAAAATGTGTAAAGGTAATAAAAGCATAGGAGCTGATGCAAAGTATAGTTTGATTTCATGTCGTAGATTTATCGTTACCTTTAAAAAAAATGTACCTACGTGGACTGTTAGCATAGCAGTGCCTGATTATTGCAAAAAATGACAAAAAGTGAAAGAATAGAAGCTTATGTTGGATTGTGGGCCTCATTCTTTCATCACTGGGAAATGAGTGCATTTTGAATGCTACGAACGGCCTCGATGCATTAGATTATGACTCTAAACATTGACAACAGGATGAAACTTAATGGATCTAGGGTACAATAATGAAATTCTTTGAAATGCTATTGATAGGGCGCTGAAAATTACCGCTCAGGTATGTTTGGAAGAAAATTCTACTTTGCAATAGTTGGTAAAGGAAGCAACCTGGTTTAAACTTCTAGGCAAAAATCGAGATAGGTATCTAAAAAAACAACAAAAGCATCAGAAGGTTTGACCTGAGATAAGGATCGAGCTAAACCTCCCTTGTCGTTACATTACTACTGAAAAATCACGACAACTATACGGTCATTGATGTGCCGGAATACCTAACCGCCAATGTACTTGATAGGAGATGAACATTTTTGAAAAGTATTTACATCCCTTCTAACTTACCCATTACACGCTACAACGATGTAGTTGCTGACGGTGAAAAAGCAAAGATAATCCATATGTGTCTAGATGGTCTGGTCATGCTTGCTAATGAGTTGAACGAAGCATACCGTCTAAGTTTTTTAAAGTAAATCGTCTTTCTCTCTGTGGCTACTCACTCACCATCCATCATAAGTCTTTTTCTTTTAACTTGGACCTTGTACAACTCCGATTTATTAACAAGCTTTGGGTGGGCAGAGCTGGCTAACGCAAGTGAAGATCTTATGACAATTTGAGGAAGCCGACTGGGACTTGTTCCGATGCCATCTGGTTGAAGCACCGCTTTAGAGTTGATATCCTTGATGACAACAGGAAGCCTCGGGCAAACTTAAACAAAGTAAACGGCAACTGCAGGAAGTCTACAGAGCAAGATGCGGCCAATTTTACTAAGCAGGAATGAAAGCAACAAAACACAAATTAGCGGCACCTACGGGCAAGCAAATGTAGGAAAGCGAAACAGTGTTCTTCCCTTACAAATAATGGAACAGAAAGTAACAAAAAGCTTATTTCGTAATTAAATCGGTTAAAGCAAAAGGGCAAGTAAAAAAACAAAGCACAAAATGCAAAAACAGAAGGGGAGATGGATTTTACCTGCTGGACGGTGTGGACTTGCGATCACGCTCGAAAATAAAAACTTCTTTATCTCCGCGCTCTACCGAAAATCAGAGTTTGCACTCTTATTTGCGGGAGCAAAGTGTGAGTTTACTTTTTGCGGGAGGTAAAGTAATCAAAAATTCCCTACGGGAGGTAAAATAATTTCCATGGAAACGTAAATGTGTTGGTATGTAACCTACACTCTGGCGTTTCAGAATGTATAGTTAATTTTGGGTATTTGATGTCCATATTTTTCTTCACGGCCCAGGGGGCTTTTAACATCGAATACTTAGACCAAAACGAAGATAACTAGATACCTACCTAAATATATTGACCGAAATTTCATTCGTCTTCCTCGCAGTTTTCTTTGTGGACCATTGATTGTGCACCGAATAATCTTGTAAGCACTTTTGTTGCGATTTCTGGGGCAACCTTACGGCATTGGCTCCTTATTTCACATAGGGAAGATTTCAAATCTAAATCGCTTTTTGTCGCTATTAAAAGTATTCCAAACTACTCAGGATACTATTTAAATGCACATTTTAAAACTTGGAAATTACTTGTCAATTGTTATCTAGTATTGACAGCCGGTTGCTAGATGACAATGGGCGATCGCGTATAAATATTGATGTCCTTTAACGAAGTACCTCCGTACCTCCTAGCGGTGCGTCGTTAAGGTAGCTACTCTGTTTTTTTTAACGAAAACAAATTGATGAACGCGAAAATAAAACCAGCGTCGCAAACTTGACCGCGGGAGGAAATTATATATTTTGTTTGCGCTCTTGATATATAAATAACTAATAATTAAGTATAACTCTCGCCAGGAAAGATTGCCGGTCACAGCACACCTTGTGTCGATTTACAATCTATGATTTTCTTAAGATGCGAGCGACTTCCGGAATAGGATTGTGCCAATGTTGAACGAAAAGTTTTTTTGTTCATCATTGCCACGATATTATCCCGGAAGTCGCTCACATCTTGAGAAAAACATAGATTGTAGACCGGGATCAAGTGTTCTGTGACCGGCAATCTTTCCTGGCGAGAGGTTTACGTCCTTCCCAGATGTCAAAAATACGGAACCGTTGTCAACATTCAATTTTTTTGACGGACTAACTGATGTAGTCTATACTTAATCGCATCCTGTTACTGTAACCCATTCAACTAATTACAGTTAATTGTACTTATCCCAATAGTCGGAATGAAATCTAAAAATTGAGCCGTCCAGCAATACCCCTTTGGTACTTGGAATGTGAGGTCAAGAGGGAAAATCTGTTAGCGCGTGATATTTTCTTTAAACTGCCCGACTTTCTCGGTTTAATGTTGTTTTTCGTATACCATTAGAAATTAAAATCGAATCTTATTTTCCTCTACAAATTAAGCTACTAATATTTCCAACTCCTAAACAAATATGTTCGGAGCGAAAATCTTCGTAACGAAGCGCCGAACTTAAAACGCTTCTAGATACCGGGTGTTCTTCTACAGAGTGACAACTAAAACTAGTGGAAAAATGGGTGCTTCGTTACACACCCCCCTTTCTTCGGAAATAAAAGAGTGCAACGGAGTTCATCCGGTTGATTTTTGGACAGGGGAATTCATAGCCATCATAAAATCGGGTAGGAACTTATCCCAACTGCGATGGTTATCTTCATAAAATTGAGTAATCATGGTTGGAACGTTCTACAGGATTGGTGCGGGGTATAGGGCGGTGTGAAACGGTGGATAATTCCAGGAAGATTAGTGGATTGTCACGCAACCCAATTTTATTAATAGTACGAAGTTACTTCTATCCCTACAGCGAAGGGTTAATTTACTACTTCGGAGGCGCGATTTTTCAGTCTAATTTTTCCCACAAATCGTAACAAATCGTACTCAATGTTGTAATTTTGCTCGCGATAGTGACTTACTAACTGCGCTAACGGTTCAATGGGAAAATGTACACCCTGCGAGAGTTTTGCTCAGAGGCACCTTTAGTCAGTGGAAGAGAAGACAGATTGTCTCTCGCCTTGGTTGAGGATTTTATGAAGCACGTGTATCTGTGCTCATTCACATCTTCCTTCTTTGGTGCGACTTGAGACGTTAGCAGGAACAAATAAGCTTCACCTTTCAACACTATCAGGGTTGATGATGTGTTGTACAACAAACTAGCAATAGCTGGAGTTTCGTTGAGCTTTTTCTCGAAGCACTTGAGGATCGCTTTACTTTTTCCATATATGGCGCTGGGTGTATCGCACCCTAAAAAGGCGTGTATGAAGAGAATGGATGTGCTGCAGGGGAGTTTCATCGTAATCGGCCCATTCGTTTTCGAGATATCGTGGTAACGGACAGACGGACAGACACCGCACAATTATGAAGTCGGTAGGAGCTCTTTAATAATCAGCTGTTTTTTATTAGCGAATTTTTGGAAATTTATTTGTAAAAAAGTAGCTTTTAATCTCACTTTGACCGATCGGCTAGCTGGCAGCAAGTTCGGGCCTGTAAGAGAACGCTTGTACAAAGACGAGGATTGTACATGTACCTATCTCTCGAAACGCGGTCTTTCTTTCGCCTGCCGTCAATAGAAGCTCAAACTATGAGAACTGTCCCAAAAATGGAGTACTATTTTGTGGATGGTTTATACGTTTATAGCGAAATCCACCAAAATGCAAATTGCGGGTGACCGGAACGTCGGAAGTGGGTACCGGAAAAAGGGAATATGATAGCCCCCGACAAGAGCTTACTGATGGACGAGTGGTGGAGTAAACTATATGCAACCGTATTCTACGACTAAAGATAAGAAAAAAAAAGTTTGAATAAATATACCTTGTAAAGTAGCTCGTTACTAAGCTACATTGATGTGTTTAATGTTTTTATTCAAAACTATTACAATAAACCAGATATGAAGAATCCCTTACGATTTTCAGTAAGGGATTGCTTTGACACTCACCTCGGATTCGTAAACGAGTCACTTTAGGAGACATCTCTTAAACTTTTTTTCATATTTTTAGTCGTAAAAGCCTACTGCATGTAGTTACCCCACAATTTCTGTAACACCCTGTATAAATATATCTCCTATTGATTTTTTCTAAAAATATGGTCCATTAAAAAGTTACTCGTAGACCGTAGTCTTTGAATATAATAGTCAAAGCTCGTAGTCTATGTCTACGTATAGTTTTTTGGCCCCCAGTTTGATGACATCACTACTAGTGGTAAGTGGAGTCTGGGGAGCTTTTTAGCGTATTTTCCTCAAAGTGAACAATCGCTGTTGGCTGCACTTTGTCGTCCGTCCGTTCGTCCGTCCGTCACACGTACTCCTTCTACACCACTGAACGATTTGGGCGATACAGGGCTCATCTGAAAGGGCTTGGTCCAAGGAATCCGTGCATACCGATTTTTTGGTTTTGCGCAAAAAGTTGGTTTAACGCATGTGCAACTTTTTATTTATGAACATATTTAAACGAAACTTTGTATGTAAACACTACGAATATAAGTAAAATTAACGACGTTTCCAAAATGTTGTTTTGCGCATGCGCAATTTCAACTTATGAAAGCATTTAAATGGAATTTTATACATAGGTACGCATTTGGAATAAAGACAAACCTAACACCTGTTTTAAAATTTGGTTTTGTGCATTGGTAATGGCAACTTTCTTGTTTATGAAAGCAGTTAAATGAAGTATCATATGTAGTAGGTATGAATACAATGTTAAAAACCCAAGTGAGTTACCAGGGCTGTTAAAGTTTGGCCGCCCATCGAATATTGTTTATTGGGGTCCTCTAATCAAATTTGGAAGGGA